ATGTGCCTAAAACGAAAGATAGAGAGCACAGACGGATTTCTGCACAGCGGATTCAAACGTTGATGGCGTTCTGCTCACAGCTGCAAATGACTTGATTCAAATTGGATCTGGAGCGTCTTCACGTCGTCTACAATTAGCAATTTAGATTGCACGATTTAATAAAGAATTGACGACACAGCGTTGGTTTGAACGAACGGTACTATGGCAGCCACTATAGTCTTAGAACACAAGATAGGAAGAGTTACGAGTTGGGAATGACTCCCAGCTCCTACAAACCCCAAGAGCCGAGGTACAGTGATGTGGAACAGTGCCACACTGTCCCCAACCACGAAGGGTCTCGAAACTACCCTTCACTAGGGCCTACACCAAGTGAAATGTTACACTACACAAAGTAATGTAACTATCTTCAATATCTTGAGGTGTACCCTTTTGGCAAGCTTCGAAATCACTTGAGGCTTGACACCAAGGCTCGGGCTCTTCATCACAAACTCATCCTTGAGTTCTTGATGGGTCTGCTGCACACACCTGCGAGACGCCGAACGTTCGACACAGGACAAAATAGAAACCGCGCACGACAAAATAGAAACCGCGCGCGAGACACAAACGACCGCGTAACACGCGTCTAGCGATAACTCGCAATTGACTCGACACACACACTCGACATCATGACTCAACATTCACACACAGTTATAAGCATGAAATATATATTATCCCATGCCCTCATACCATTCCATACACACACACATGCACGCACACGGACAACAAGCCGAGTGCAAACCGTAGGGTTGCACCAACAATGCCCACGTGTTCTTGGCTGGATCCGTCATGTGCGGGGGAGGCCATGGCTTTGAGCAGGACATCACTACCCACAGGGTTCACTTCAACAAGACCGTCTTCCACAGATGGCACGCCAATGCCAGCTTTGCACATGTAGGGTATGGGGATCTGAGTACTGTTGGCCTGTAGGCCTTTGTAGGATAGGAAGCATGGAAGCATATATTTCAGTTCAACCCGTCAACGCCTAGATGAAGGTTAGTGTTGAATCTAAAATGCTATGTGTTCAGGGTACATTATTATGGATATGGTTCCTTTCCAAGGGGTATTCGAGGGCCTGTTGATAGTAAGGGGAAGCTGAGGGCGGCGTGGGAGTGTGAAGGGGAGTTTCTTGTTTGGCTGAGAAAAGCCCTTAGGATCGTTTCAAGACTAAGGCTCAGAATGATGTATTAGCGGAAGCGTTCAATGAAGGTTGATTGAACCACCTTGCACTGGTGTGTGAGAACAAGATAAGTTAAATTATAGCAAAGGAATACAAAGCCTTTTATATTATTACAAGGAATATGAAAGGTTTAACTAACTGTTGTTGTAACTGCTGTTGCGGTTCGATACAGCGACGACTCGGGTAACTGCTCAATGGCGAGTCAGTTATGTGTCCTTGCTGTCGCGCTGCTTTCGGCAAGTCAAAGGTCGCTGACCTTTGACCTTCGCTTAACCTCTTGCTGTTGCTTTTGTCAACCGCTTCGGTTGACTCGCTGTTACTTCGCTGTAGTTCGCTTCGCTTACATTGTAGTGCTCGACACATCAGAAGCGCGAACTATATGTTTCAAACATTTCTGAGGACGGAGGTGAGGATGTGGGTGCGGGCAGGGCAGGGGGGCGTGGTGGATGGGTTGTGGCGAGATATTGTCAGGGAAGTGGTTGTGGGTGTGAAGAAGCAGAAGCGTTGAGACTCACTTGTTGGTACTACCGTAATACCGTATGTTGGGCAATCATGTTACCGTATTGGAGTTAGTGTGTTGCAGTGTGTGTGCCACAAACATAATAGTAAAGCCATGCCAGAGTCATATGTTAATTTACCATTGGAGTGCACTGCAGCTCGGTAAACATGGCTGAGGGCATCAAATGAAGGTACCGTACCTATCCCTTTGCGCGTACAGTGCAACAAAACGCAGGAGAAGCAATCAAAGTTCCTAGGGGAAAGAGGGGAAGCAACAAATATTACGATCAAGAAAGAGGAGCAAGTCCCCTCACACCCCCCCAGGTCCCCCTAGCCCAGCCCCCTACCCCCCTCCCCGATCCGACATGACTGCCCTCTACGGTCCTCTTTAGATCCTTTTCTCCTTGCCTTCTCCTTGTCTTTTCGTTTCTTGTACGGGGTATGGTACTACGGTATCTGCCCGCTTCTTCCCAACGAGGCGTACCATACCATCCCCCAACCCACCTGCCTTGGCCCGGCCTGCATGCAAGCCTACGCGCAAACCTACACACATTCACAAACCTACTCTAGGAGCCTACTTATAATAACATATTCTGCAGCTACAGTTCCCCCTAAGCCCCCCTTTAGAGACAAGCATTCCATAGCCCCCCTGTACAATCCATCCACGGCTGTGGGACGGCTCAAGCAGCAGCGCGGCACGTGGAGATATGGCGGCGTGGTGCGCACACGTGAAGCTCTCGGGCAGCAGGGCCACAGCGTGCCACCTGTGCAACGGTACAGGGGTGGGTACAAGGTTCCACAGAAAGAGCGGGTTTTGGGGAGGAAAGGGAAAGAGATGCGTGAAATGAGCACATGTGAAATCAAAGTAGAGTCCCCCACTGCCACCTCGCTTCGTAGTTGCCGCCACCTCTCTGCATTGCTCTAACCAGGGAGGGTGAAGAGATGGAATAAGCGAGGGTGCAGAGAAGGAATCAGCGAGGGTGAAAAGAATGAATCAGGGTGTAGGGTTGATCTACGAGGGAAGGACCAGGGGGGGAGGAATGTCATCAGGGGAATGGTGGGTGGGGAGGGGGAAAGGGAGGAGAAACGACATCACTGGGGTGGCTGGCACAAGCAGTGTATGGGAGAATGGGAGAATAAGGGGTGTACACCTTATACGTTTAACCCCCTCCTTCACAACCAGTAGGTGCTTGAAATCGGCAGGCAGGGATTCAGGGTTTTGAAATCAGTGAATGATTTTGGGATTTGCCAGCGAGAAAGGGGATTTGGGTTTTGGCACCAGGACCGGATTTTGGGTTTCAACGCCAGAAGAAGGGTTCTGGGTTTTAACAGCAGGGTTGAAACTTTGGGTTTCAACAGCGGTAGCGGGGCTTCGGGTTGAGCTCAAAGGAAGGAACTAGTGGGGAGGAATGGCATCAGGAGGGTGGTGGGTGGGGAGGAGGGAAGGGGAGCAGAAATAACATCAGGAGGTTTAGGGTGGGGGGAGGGATAGGAAGGAACAATCACATCAGGTGGGTAAGAGCATAAGGGTTGGGAAATGGGGGAATGTGATTTTCTCAAAATGTTACCAAATGTCAACACTTTCTTCCTATTACTCTGAATTTTCTTCTTATTCTGTTCTTTTCCTCCCTCCGCACCTCACTCCCATCTTCCACGACCCCACTGCCTTGCCTATCTCAACCCCACCTCACCTCACTCCCATCTTCCATCACCTCAGCACGGGGGGGTTGGAACGGAGAATCATTTCAGGTGGTAAGAATCAGGAAGGAGAGTGAAGAATATGATATCTTCATATTTTTGTCCACCTTTTTTTTTTCCTTATCCCCCAACCAAACCTCACTGCCATTATCCACCACCTCATTGCCTTGCCTTTTTTCCCTCACCTCACCACCATTTCCCCACGACCTTGGTGTTTTTTCTGCGTTGGTATCGTGCATGTTCATGTTGGGTGTTGTTTCTTGTTTGAGTGGCTTACCTTCCCGGGGCGGTGGGAGTGGATGGTGAGAGTCGTCTCGCGCGCCTCATTCGCACCCAGGGCCGGTGGGTGTCGTGCTGAGCGAGCCTTTCACGCCCAACAGGGCCAGATCTGCCACCTGGGGTGGTGGTGAAATCAGGAGAAGGTGTAAAATCAGGCGAAGGTGTGAAATCAGGAGGTGTGAAATCAGGAGAAGGTGTAAAATCAGGCGAAGGTGTAAAATCAGGCGAAGGGGTGAAATCAGGAGAAGGTGTGAAATCAGGAGAAGGTGTGAAATCAGGAGAAGGTGTGAAATCAGGAGAAGGTGTGAAATCAGGAGAAGGGGTCAAATCAGGAGAAGGGGTCAAATCAGGAGAAGGGGTCAAATAAGGAGACGGTGTGAAATCAGGAGAAGGTGTGAAATCAGGAGAAGGTGTGGAATCAGGAAAAGGGGTCAAATCAGGAGAAGGGGTCAAATCAGGAGAAGGGGTCAAATAAGGAGACAGTGTGAAATCAGGAGAAGGTGTGAAATCAGGAGAAGGTGTGAAATCAGGAGAAGGGGTCAAATCAGGAGAAGGGGTCAAATCACGAGAAGGGGTCAAATAAGGAGACGGTGTGAAATCAGGAGAAGGTGTGAAATCAGGAGGTGTAAAATCAGGAGAAGGGGTCAAATAAGGAGACGGTGTGAAATAAGGAGAAGGTGTGAAATCGGGAGAAGGTGTGAAATCAGGAGGTGTGAAATCAGGAGAAGGTGTGAAATCAGGAGAAGGGGTCAAATCAGGAGAAGGGGTCAAATCAGGAGAAGGGGTCAAATCAGGAAAAGAGAAAAAAAATCAGAAGGGGGGAGGTGAAGAGAATGGGTTTGAACGAATGAGAGTGGGTTCAGGGGAATGAATCCAAGAGGGGGCACGCTGTCAATTGCTGGATGTGACCTTCGTATCTCATATGCTTCCATTTTCCTGATTTTATTATTTTCTGTACTTGTATTTCATTACTATTTTTGCGCATTGCTCTTACCGTGGAAGTGCAGTGTTACATGGACCGCCGTGATTGGCGGAGAGGCACGCAGCAGCGGTGCGGTGTGCTATCAACGGCTAGAGGGAGAGAGGGAACGAGCGGGGCGGAACCAGGGGGGAGGAGGGGGGGAGACAGAATAGCGGCAGAATGAAGAGAAGGAGGGGAATGAGGGGAGGCACAAGGGCTTCAGAAGGAAGGGAGAGAGCATATGCTTCCAATTGTCTGTTTGTATCTCTTGTATTTTTGGGTATTCATGATCAGTTTCGGCTATTTTCTTAGTGCGCTTTTCACGCACAACCACTCCAGTGCACTGACCTGGAGTCGTTGCTTTAAGATTGGCTTGTTCCCGTCTTGCTTGACGGCTTTCGCGGTCAGCGCCGCAACTCCACGCATGTCGTCGCGTTCGCCGCGAATCACCCGCGTGTACACATCCCGGTCTTGCATAGCTCGCACCGTCCTTCCGCCTCACAGATATAACGCCAACGGCGCAATCAAGCAGCGCGCTGATAGCGGGGCGCCGAAAGCGGGGAGTCTAGATCAGGGTGGGGCAGATTGTGCGAGGCATATTTTGAAATAGCAAGGCTGTTTTTGAAATCGCGAGGCAGAAAGTAGATGCTGATTGCTATTACCTTGCTTGGGTAGGACAAACCTCTCCTCTAGTGTGGTGTGGTGTCTCTGATCGCCTTCCTGAGATGGGGCCCCATCCAAAGTTCCCCCAACAACAGTGCCCATAGCACGTGTCCGTGGCATGGCAGCAAAAGGGGGGCGAATGTGGACGTCGCATGAGTTGGGAGCTGAGGGTCGTGCGATACTCCCTCACGTCAACTTTTCCTGCCCCCGGACGTCAGAACGACAGTCGAGCTAGACTGTCACGGAACAAAAAAACTGAACATCTTGCGCGCATACAAATAGCACAATTCCTAACAAGTTTATCAATTCCCTCCGAGTGTGTTTTCAACCGTCTCATGGGAGCATGTGGCCGTTGAAAACTGTCACATGAACGTTCGATGCAGACGCATGTGAGTGGTTGCAGCAGATCTCTCTTGTTTTTCGCCTTAATCAGCTCTCGTCGCATGGCACGTGTGGTGGGTGTGACCAATATCTAATTCTGCCACGCTGGACCAATGGTGCTGCAAATCGATGGGGCCCCATCTCAGGAAGGCGCCCTCTGTGGATGTAGGGGGGTTGGGAAAAGAATGCGGTTGGGTTGGGTGTTATGGTGTTGAGGGCAGGTGGGCCACGTGGGGGATGGGGGTAACCTGACTGGGGTGGGGTGCCTGGCTGCAAATCAGCTGGCTGCAAATGAGCTGGATGCAAATGAGCCGGCGTTCACTGTAGCATCGAACACGCTGTACGACGCGGTAAGGAAGGGTGGTGAGCGCACCTCACAAAGTCACGCTGCTGTTATTTGCACCTCTCGGCTAGATGCGCTGGCAGCGATAAGGAAGGGTGGTGAGCGCACCTCACACAGTCACCTTGCGGCTCGACATGCTGGCAGCGATAAGGAAGGGTGGTGAGCGCACCTCACACACTCATGCTGCTGTTTATTTGCACCTCTGCTAAACTGAGCCGACGCGTTTTGCAGCTCGACACGCTGTCAGTGACGCTAAGAAAACATTTTGACATACTGCCATGTATCCATAAAAGCGCACGTCGGATGCCTGGTCGCACGAATGCAATCTCAGTCAGACATTTTTTGCAGCAGTGTCGCACGTATGTACTCATTGGTGCGTTGCCAACTCAGGATGCTGTCCAAGTACTGTAGTATTCAGACTTTAGAGGTTTCAACACAGCACACCTCTGTCAAAGAGAAAGGCCCCGCCCTCGCTTGGGCGCAGCCGATCTCGCCGTCGACGAGAAGTTCGCTATGGATTGGTCGACGAAATGGGCTTCTGCAGTTCGACGGAAGTTGCGGTCGAGCAAGCTCTGCGCGACGAGCTCTGGTCGACGATCTCTGCGCGACGAGCTCTCGTCGAAGAGCGCTGGTCGACGATCCTAGTCGAGGAACTCTGGTCGAAGAGTTCGGGTCGAGAAACTCTGGTCGAAGAGTTCGGGTCGAGGAGCTCTGCTCGGCGAACGCTGTTCGACCGAGTGATGACGAGCTGATCGACCGAAGTTGCAGAGTTGTGCGAAACTCTGCGGAGGCGTGCGAACTTTCGCCCAGGAGGTTTTGGCGAAGTTCTACCAGCGGAACGGCATCACGTGGTCGACGGTGCGCACCTGGCGAAACTGATGACACGTTTTCTACCTGGCACCTGCGCAATGTGCCTGACGGTGAAACCGCCAACCTGCACCTACTTGGTAGGTGCGCACATCTGCGCAGATAGACAACCTACGACAGCAGATAGTCACCTGCGACTGCAGTGCTGGCAGACAGCGCGCAGTGCAACGTTGGCAGACCACTCTGCTGCAACGTTGGCAAACCGCTCTTTTGCTTCGCTGGCAGATTTCGCCCTTGCTAGGTGTTGCATGCGATTCTAGTCCTTTTGTTCTGCATGCCTCAATTGTACTATCAACTGTTCATTGCAAGTTGTTCTTTCAACTTTCCTTAGTGGAATTCTTGCCAAACTTCTTTGTGAACACATGCAAGCAGTAAGAACGCTAGTGCAAGCTACGATCACTCGCACAACCCCGTGCCCTCCACCGTAGTCCACTCCCGTTGTGTAGTGACTCTCCGCATGGTGCGGTGAGCGTGGATTGAATCCATCGAGCCTCAGCTGGAGATCGCCGGATTGAAGAAGTTCGTCGACGGCAATGTTGACACGCCGGACGCAGACGACTCTGAACTCTGGGCGGAATTTCGCGCTGCTCATCTACTAACCTTCATGGTCATTTCGAGGTGTTGCTCGCCTCTGGTGCAGGTCGCTTTGACGTCGTGCAGACAACAGGTGGATGCTGGCTACCAAGCGTGTCAGTACATCATGTGTCAAACTTATATGCTATAGTCTGTGTAGGCTGTAGTGGGGTAGTTCATATGGGGTACAACATTTTAGGGTTTCCTACTTGTACTCCTCATGCTGCTCAATGCAATCATTCCTCGTTCTATCTTTCACATGGTTTCAGAGCAGGTTCCCTAGTGGGAACGATTTTTTTAGGGCCCACCACTGAAAAACATTTTTTTTTCCACCTGCCCGAAGCGCGCTGTCGCGCCTGCCTCACCTGCGCCGTCGCGCGCCCTGCCCTGCTGTCGCTAGTCGCGACCCTGCCCTAGCCGCCCGTCGCGGCCCTGCCTTGTCGCCGCCCGTCGCGGCCTTACCCGCCGCCCGTCGCGGCGCTGCTTTGCCGCCCGTCGCGGCCCTGCCCTGCCGCCCTACGTCGCGGCCCTGCCCTGCCGCCCTAAGTCGTGGCCCTGCCCTGCCGCCCCACGTCGCGGCCCCTGATCTGCAGCCGCCGTCGCGGCCCCTTACCTGCAGCCGCTGTCGCGGCCCTGCCGTCTCCGTCGACGCGCCTGCTGCCACCGTCGCGGCCCCGCCGTCGCGGTCCTGCCCTGCAGCCGCCGTCGCGCCTGCAGCACCCGTGGCGGCCCTGCCTTGCCGCCGTCGCGGTCCTGCCCTGCAGCCGCCGTCGCGCCTGCAGCACCCGTGGCGGCCCTGCCTTGCCGCCGTCGCGCCTGCAGCCGCCGTCGCGGCCTCACCGTCGCGGCCGCCGCCGTCGTCGCCGTTGCGGCCCCGCCGTCGCGCCTGCCCTGCTCGCCCCTGGTGAGCACCTGCCCTACGCGCGCTACCCACGTCACCTGCCGGCCGAGCCGCGCCGCCCAGCCGAGCCGCGCCGCCCAGCCGAGCCGCGCCGCTCCGCCGAGCCGCGCCGCCCAGCCGAGCCGCGCCACCTTCCCGAGACGCGCCTCACTGCCCTACTGAGCCGCGCTGCCGTGCCCGCGCTGCTCCTGCTGCTACTGCTGCTTCTGCTGCTTCTGCTGCTACTGCTGCTACTGCTGCCACTGCTGCTACTGTCGCTATGGCTAGCCCTACAGTTCTTACCTTCGATGCTGAGGGTCGTGCCGTTGACTTCAATGTCTGGGTCGATGATCTGCAGCTGTTTCTTCAGTGCGATAGTAAGGACAGTATCTCTCTTTTTGATCTCACGTCCGGCGCCTCTACTGCACCTGCTGCCGATGCTGACAGTACAGTTCGCTCGCAGTGGACTACTCGTGACGCTGTTGCTCGCCTTGCTGTTCGTAGTCACCTGCCTTCTGCTGAGCGCGCGCACTTTGGTCAGTACAAGACTGCTAAGTCTCTGTATGACGCTGTTGTAGCGCGCTACTCCTCCCCTGCCACTGCTATTCTCAGCCGCCTCATGCTACCATACCTGTTCCCTGACCTGGCCGCCTTTGCTACAGTCGCTGACCTCATTACCCACCTCCGCACTAGTGACGCCCGCTACCGAGCTGCCCTTCCCTCCGAGTTCTGCGCCAAGAACCCCCCCCCCCCCATGTACATCACTCTCTTCTTCCTAGTCACACGTCTCCCTGACTCCCTTTCTTCAGTCAGGGACCACTTTCTCTCCCATTGCCCCACCGAGCTCACCGTTGACCTGCTGGAGGAGCGCCTCACTGCAGCTGAGAAGAGTATAGTTGCTGTAGGTGCTTTTCGCGGCGACCCTCGCGCCCCTTCTTTGAGGGGTGTTCCCCCGTTCCCCTTCTGCCCTCTGTTGCTTCTGCTGCTGCTGTCGACCTCGTTGGCACCGAGCAGGTCGGGCCTGCGTCTGCTCCTAGTGACAGGCGCCGCGGCGGCAAGGGCAAGGGGGGCAAGGGTGGTGGAGGGGACGGCGGGGGCGGCGGTGGTGGCGGTGGAGGAGGCGGATGCGGAGATACACTCTACAACGGTAGTGAGCTAGACTACGGGGGTTGGCACAAACTACTAGGGGTGATCGTAGCTTTGCTTGGTTCCTTAGTGCTTGCACATTCACGGGGGAAATTGGCAAGAGTTTCCACTAGGCAAAGTCGAAATTACAGAATGATTGAACAAGCAATGGCAGAATGACTACATCAGGCACCTTTCAACTCTGCAGCTAGCCTGGTCGACCGCCAGCACAGCTCGTTCGACCGCCTGCCAGCGTTGCGTAGAGGAGCCGCGCCAGCACTGCGAAAAGGCGACCTGCCAATAGAGCAGGTCGACGGCGTGCCAACGCTGCAGCAGGGCGGTTGTCCAGCATTGCCCCGTTGAACACAGCAGTGCGCACGCTCGCAGGTGCACGCAGACGATTGGCCCGACTTGCCTCGTTGGGCATCCGTCGGCTGTTGTCTGCGCCTGACGAGCCACATCGACTTCGGGATACCAGGCCGCAGTCGTCTTCGCCATCGCGACCTCGACGACGTTCGCGTGCCTCCGCCGAACTCGTCGAGCAGGTTACCCGGTCGACCTGGTCGACCACCAGGTGCTTCCGGTTGACCACCACTGCCTCTGGTCGACCACCAGGTCCCTCTGGTCGACCAACAGGTGCCCCTGGTCGACCACAGCTCCCGTCGAGCTACCCCCTGGTCGACGGACCCCTTCCGTCGACCAGAACTGTCAGCGGTTGTCGCCGAGTTCCCCT